GAACGGAACCGAGCCCGAACGGTTCCATAATTATATTTGGACCCGACGGGTCCATTTATTAAATACTCGAAAGTTTTGGGTCGGTTCGGGTTTCTTCAGAACCGAACCGAACCGACCCACGAACAGCCATAAACCAGACAATCTATTTCTCACCCACTTCTTTTTTTCCCTCTTCGAGCTACTGTTTTATTGCCTTCTATTCTTCCCTTGCAGAGGAAGAGGTCATGGTTGGGGATTTGAGTCATAAAGCCCTTGATAAAATTAGAATGTGTTCATCAGTTTATGAGATTTTTTTAGTCTATGGTAATCACCTATGAAGCACCAACTGTCTGACACGACACATCTTCGATACGTTGATTAAATTCTTTTTAAAAAATTATTTATATAATAGAAATTTAGTTTTATACTTGTTATTAATTTTTCTTGTCGAATTTTTTTAAATGAGAGTACCTATTTATTCTTTAATAATAACTTTGAGTTAAAAATATATAATATTTTTTACAAAAAAAATGAAATAACCATGGCAGAGTAATCACGGTCTGTTTGAAAACTAAGCAAGTCAGCAAGTCATTTCCTCATTTTGCTTGTGACTGGCCTACTCTATTATCATTTCGTAATTGTAAACTATATATACAGTCGTAATTAACTTTATAGTTGTGTGAGAAGTGATACCGAAATATTGTATTAAATAATATAATGGATCCTAGTTAAAGCCTGAGTTCTTTAGTAGACATGAATCTTAGGTGGTTCTTAAATTGGCACTACTCCAAATTAGAATCGGTGCCTTAGAACTAGTTTATGTTAAAGTCAACTATGTGCTGAGCTAGTAAATGAAAATTCTACCTTTGTTTAAATTATATGGCCTAAATTTAGTTCTGTTTTCTATACAATATGAATGTAATGCATAATTTGTATATAAAGTAAATATATATAGGTCTATGGACAGAAAGAAATAACAAAATAGCTATTTTAGATAAAAAGAAGAGTAGAAGGTGAAAACATTGTTATCTATAAACCATTTCTGTGGAAGGATTTGAACCAGTCTCAAATTGAGATGTATTGGTATCATTTTCTAATTTACCTGTAGTGACAAATCGCCTTACATTCTTCCTAAATCAGCCCAAGAAATACCCACAAAAACTAATTCATGGTTTCCATGAGCATTACCTATATGTTCCATGGACTGGAAATGACTGAAATTGTATTATGAAGCTGGCACCTAATTTTTCCTTCGTGATTGGACCAAGACCTCTCTGAAGACTTGCTCCAAAACAGAATTATAACATCCTGGAAATCAATACTTCAGAATATGATTCCTGCTATTTGGTGTCTACATTAAAATAATTTTGAAACCCCTCCACCTTTAGTTCAGATTTAAATAGGTCCATTCATGCATTATCCAGTCAAGCACATTTTGCATTCAAACAAAAAATTGTGGAGCACCATAGATAAAATAAAATTGTTCTGCTTCTCTAGCGTAATTTTTCCTACAAAGTAATGCACATGGAAAATAAAATGTTCATAGGAAAGAGCAACGGAAAGGTTAACAGTGATCATGATTTACGAATTCCAGGTTGCTTCAAGTGCCTTGGGCTTTGGACCTCAGTTGGCTATGCAATTAGCAGAGCGTTTGTACACTCAAGGTTTCATCAGGTTTTCTCTCTCATCCTATGTTCTTCCATTGTATGTCTTGGAAACATCTGCTTTACTTCACGAAGTCCCAATTTTTATTTTTATTTTGAAATTTTAATCATCAAACTGGATTAGAAATCATGCTCTGATTAGTGATGACAAATCTTGTTTTGCAAGTATTTATTTCTCTATTTCTGTTCTTGGCAGTTTTACGCATTTGAGATCATTAGGATTTGTAGTTCATACTTAAAGACACGAAGAAGAACTGCCTTTTTCTTCAAGAAATTGACTTAATCGAGTAATGTCTCATTTTTTAAGTGATAACTCCGAAAAAATATTACTGTGCTTATGGGGAAGTGAAAACTCACGAAGGAATGCATTTGTGTGACTTTGGATTCCTTTTCCATTTCAGTGGCATATGTCATTAATTGCAGGGATATAACGAGTCAGTGTCGCCTCTTAAAATTTACATTAGTTATTGCAGCTCATGTGCTTACAACTGTAGTAATAGTGAAAGCAATTCTATGTTTTGGACATTTTAGCTGTGGAGTTTTGAGCGTAATAATGTGACCAGATTCAGTACCTTAGTGTGAATGTCACAGCTTTTCTTCAATTCTGCCATTTGACGTTGTATACTATCATAATCGTAATCAATCTTTTCTTACTCTCTTATTTTGGTTGATTCTGCTTTAGTTATCCTCGTACAGAGAGTACAGCATATCCATCTTCATTTGACTTTAGAGGCACCCTTAGAGCAATAGACAACAATCCAGAATGGGGAGAATATGTGCAGAAACTTTTGGCTGATGGCTATGTAAAACCACGATCAGGGAATGATGCAGGTGATCATCCTCCAATAACTCCAATGCGTTCAGCTACCCAGGACATGCTTGGTCATGATGCTTGGAAGCTCTATCAGTATGTCTGTCAACATTTTCTAGGGACGCTTTCTCCAGATAGCAAATACACAAGGTAAAAAGCTTTATTTTCATATCTATCTTATGTGCGTTTTGCACAAGTAGTGTAATTAGCAGTCAATGTAATCTTAAATTCTTTTAATGACACTATGATCCTTAAACCTTTAATACAAAGCTAGATCTGCTAACTTTTTCATGAAGCTGGTAGTAAATTCTGTTTAAGGGCTTCTGAATTGAACGAATGAGATTTCACTCGGTGTACTATCCGTAGCCTCAAATGTAGTTTACTGTATACGTGTTTCAAGTTTAATCTTGATTAATGCGATTTGCAATTCTATAATGAAGGTGCTTTATATAACTTTTCACTCTGCAGAATCAGACATCAAAATATGTTTCTGTCGAGAACATTTGGCATTGAACGGAAGATGTAGTTGAGGAAGCGCTAATGATACACGAGATTGGACTAAAACTATTTTACCATTTAAGTTTTAGAATCTATATTCATTCCAGTCTAGGATTTCTTTACAGAAATCAATAAGGATATATAATCTGTAGCATGAATAAGCTATAAGCATTTCTGTATGGCTAACTTTCATTGAATTAGTGGGTTAGAAGTATTGTTTGTCTCTGACCTTGTTCCCTTTCTTATCTAGTGATTAACAACTGACCGTTATGTATTGGTCACCATGAGTTAGTTCATTCTTTTCATGTGCACTAGAAAGTATGTAGTCCGGTCCATATCAACACTAGGATAGCTTGGAAAAGAAACCTTGAGCTGTAGCCATGTGGTCTTGAGGAGAACTCACATGGAAATGGCTAATAATCACTAGTTAAAATATCCAATTACAACTTGGAGCTGTGGATATTTTCTCTCTTCTAGGCCTAAGAACATGAAATGTAAAAATTAAAGATAGCAGGTTTTCCTGTTACCAGTATGAAACAAGGGAAAAAAGTTGATGAAATACACCCATATCAAGAAAGAGCTATGGTAGTTCAGGGAGAGAGCACTATCAATCTTTCTTCATTTTGTTGCTATGTTTTTAAATTGACCGTTTCTGCACCAGTAAGATTGGATTTGGTTGGAACCTTGGAAAGACTAATAATATACTATAAATTGTCTCTTAGGTAGTCACTGATTGTGCAGTAAGATGGTCTTAACAATTTGAAATCCTTGCAGGGTCAAGATTGAATTTTCAGTGGCCGGAGAATTATTCCACTGTATTGGGCACCGTGTTACGGTCAAAGGATTCACATCAATTATGCCGTGGTTGGCAGTCAGTGAAAAAAGTCTTCCTCAGTTTACTGAAGGGGAGAAAATAGAAATTTCACGAACTGAGGTTGATGAGGTATAGAAATCCAACCGTTGTAATGACTAGTTGTTCACTGGTATATTTATACATTCTTCTCCTCTCCTCCTTGGACCTGCTTCTCTTTCTCTCTCTCAGTTTTGTGCTGGAAGCACGGCATCTGTCTCTATTTCACGTATTACCACCCTATTTAAATCTTATCATGTTTGTATCCTTATCAGACTGCACTATGAAATAAAATTGAAAACAGTACAGAGCTCATACTTGGTATAGTGCATTCCATTTAGGTTGCTGGTAGATTGATAACTGAATATTCAATAAATATCAACAAAAAATAAAATGAGGAAGTGACAAAATTTTCTGTTTGTGTGGATATATATGCATGCATCAGTTGATAATGCAGTTGAGGTTAAATTACAATTTACATCTTAAGGCCAATAGTTATTCTTACCTTTTTCCCTTGCATACTGCTAAATAACTTCTTTCACTAAACTTTCAGGGGAATACACAGCCTCCTGACTACCTTACTGAAAGTGAGCTGATCTCACTGATGGAAAAAAATGGAATAGGTACAGATGCATCTATTCCTGTACATATCAACAACATATGTGAACGCAATTATGTGCAGGTCAGTAAAACTTGATGTTGTTTTTGTGGGTTTGTGCACTCATTTCAAAATGCGCTTTTGGTATTCTATTTTAGAGTTTTTTTTTATTTGGATATATAGGTACTTTAAAAATAATCCTGCCTTTGTATAATAACTTCAGGTACAAGCTGGAAGGAGATTGGTTCCAACTGCTTTAGGAGTCAGTCTAGTAAGAGGCTATCAGTGTACAGATCCAGATCTCTGTTTGCCTGACATTCGAAGTTTCATTGAGCACCAGATCACTCTTGTAGCTAAAGGTCAAGCAGACCATTCTTCAGTTGTGGAGCACGTAATAAAGCAATTTAAAAGGAAGTTCAGTTACTTTGTTAAGCAGGTGATGAAATAACAATGTCTTTTTATCTTGTTTGATTTAATGTAAAGCCAGTAACTCCTGTTATTTCTTTTCCATTATGCGTTGTAATTATCTTTTCTTAAATCTATCCTCCGCAACTTGCGGTTTTGGAAGGGTGAAGGTTGATAATGAATAAAAAATGTGCTCTCTCCTCCTAGCTCGTGCTTCTGGAACCATGTTTCACATTGTTTTTGTTGTCTTTCTGTAAGTTTTGAAAGTACGAAGCTTGTGATCGTCTATAAGTTTTAGAAGTATTACAAATATACTTTTTCATGTCTATAATATGATTGATTGCCTATTTACGATTAAGCCTGTTTGCTTTATCCCTGATAAACTTGATGTCTGTGCCTGGTGTAGATTGAAAACATGGATGCCTTATTTGAAGCAGAATTTTCTCCACTCTCAGATTCTGGACGATTGCTTAGTAAATGTGGCAAATGCTTGCGGTACATGAGGTACATATCTACCCAGCCATCACGGCTATACTGTGGAACATGTGAGGAAATTTATTACGTTCCTCAGAAGGGTACAATCAAGGTAAACTATATATCACTTTGAGTTATGTTTCTCAAATTGAATTAATCAGTGCCTGATGATCATATCTATAGATCTAACTTGTTCCTTTTGGCAGTTCTAATAATAGCATGCCTGATCAATCATACTTCTGCTGTCTTGAAAAATTATATTATCATCTTGTGAATTTGCACCAAATATTATTTGACAATCACCTCCTATAACTAAAAGCTAACTATTACTCCATTAATATTATGCAAGCATCTTTTCTTCTCCTTGCAGCTATACAAGGAACTTATTTGCCCTCTGGATAACTTTGAGCTATTGATCTTTTCAATGCCTGGCCCAGAGGGTAAATCCTTCCCCCTCTGCCCATATTGTTACAACTCTCCTCCATTTGAAGGCATCGAGACTTTATTTGGTGCTGCTAAAACTGGTAGTGCCGTCAAGCCAGGAAAGGGAGCTGGCATGCCGTGTTTCCTCTGTCCACATCCGACGTGCCAGCATTCTATGATATCACAAGGTGTTTGTGCTTGCCCGGAGTGTAATGGTACACTTGTGCTTGACCCGGTAAGTGCTCCCAAGTGGAGGCTGTACTGCAATATGTGCAACTGCCTTGTTTTCCTTCCGGAAGGTGCTCATCGAATATCTACAACTCGGGATCACTGTCCTGAATGTGACTCAACTATAATAGAAGTGGACTTCAATAAGAAAACTACACCGTTGAAGGATGGAGCTACCCTGCATGTTGGATGCGTTCTTTGTGATGAATTATTGCATTCACTCGTGGTGATGAAGCACGGAAAGTCATTCTTTAGACACAGAGGTCGGGGTCGGGGGAGAGGGAGAGGAAGAAGAGGTGGGAGAGGACGGGGCAGTAGGAAACAAGAAGACCCAAAAATGAGCTTCCATGGTTTCTGATTGTGGAAAAATATTTACTTTTACACGACTTTTTCAAGGTTTTTGAAGAGAAAAAGGACTGTTTATTCAGAGTTGAAAGTTCATTCTGCTTTATTATAATCTGTTGTAACAAAAAAAAAAAAGGCTGTTAATGTTCTTTATGTAATTTTTAGTTTTAGAAGTTAAATTCTACCCCTGCTGTGTGTTACATTACTAGTGAGAAAAGATGATGGATATTTTTTTTTCGTATTGATGAAAACTTGCAATGACTAGTGTTATATGACGTCAGTTTGATGTAGATTTTAGATTTTGTGGAAAGTAATTTTTTGGAGGATGTATGGTTAAAGCGTAAGGAAAAGTGAGTTCATATATAAAATTATTTGAGTAATGCTATTTGTGCATTGTTGTGTACATAATGGTGTACAGATAAATGACATGGAAGAGCGAGATTATAATAACTGATTATTATTATTTTTCTTTTTCATATTATATATCTCTACATTATTGTATACAAGATAATGTACAAATAGCATTACTTATTATTTTAGATGATGGAAGAAGCACACGCCTTAACATTCTCTAATCTCTTGGTTATCTTCGAAATCTTTCCTGGGACAATACTTTAGAGTAGTTGAGCATTCAAATTATTGACCCAATCAACATAACAAATTTGCGGGTAATGTGTATATTTTCGTCTATGCGTTTGAACCTAGTAGTTCAATTTAATTCTTGTTTGATTTAAACCCATTTGGCATGCGGAATTATATGAGCCCGTTTGAGTCTCTTTTTGTTTTTTGTACAAAATGTATTTTAGATTAGTATTTTGATAGACAATGTGTAGTTAAAAATTTTGAATTTGCGTGTAATACTATTTTATTAAAGAATGTGGTTGAAAATAATAGAGGAAAATATATTTTGAAATTAATTGGGATTAAATAAGGGCTATATATATAATTTTTTTATTGATTTTCACAAAATTTATATAAAAAAAATTAAAAGAACAATTAATGCTTGGCCTGTCCAAAACTTTTCTAACAACTTAAAAAATATAAGGCTTAGAAATGAATGAATTGTAAAATATTTGAAGTTTTTCACGGAAAAATGTAATAACCATTAGAAGGAAAACACAATATTTCGTAATATATAAACAATAATATCCAGACAAAGTGCATGATGTACAAATAAACAGTAAAATACAATATCCGATAAATTCATTATGATTTCTTGTGCGTTCCTAACTCTATGATAATGACAACTCGAATCTCAAAAATTGCTCCAAAACAATAGGTTGTTTGATAAAAAAAAAATTTAGTAAATTTTGATAAAAATTAATAAAATATATAATTGAAAAACCGATAAAAGTCGTGAAGTTCAAAAAATGTGTACATAAAAATGTGCACCAAATTATTTGTAGCATAAACAAATTAAATAGTAAAATTAAAATTGATAGCTAAAATACAATAATATAGCCAAAAGTAAGTAGTTTTAAGCATTCTTTAACAGTAAAGGCCCACTCAACAAACTGCAAAATGAAAGTGACTAATCCCAACTTTTTTCAGGTATCCAACATATAAAAGCCATTAGAGTGGAGCATAAATGTAGTGATTTGGACAACTAAAATACTTAGAGGCCCTACCATGTCACCACCAAAAATCTTAAGTAATTCATTAAAATAATCAAATATTCAGCCTTAAACTTGCATGCCAAAGAGAAACTTAATTCGAAAAACTAATAATATTAATTTTTGCCGCAGAAAATAACCATCAACGAGGCCTCTCTAAACAACGTAAAATAAAAAGAAGCTTAAATCTTGTCAATTGAACATACACTTTAAGAAAGAAATTCACTAACCAATTTCTAGCATTCAAGCCGAAATCCAAAATGAATTTGGAAACCGGATTCATGTTATCGATCTCAAATTTAGCCAGAAATAGCCTTATAATCAAAACCCAAAAAGCATACCATCCAGGATGGAGCTCATGCAAAACCAATCCCTATTTTCACATATGGTACACACCCCATTTTGGTCACATAATATGGGTCATATGTTATACTTCGCCTATCATATGTCATACTTTGCCTACATTGTACAAGACAAAGCATCACACTTTATACTGCACCTTTATCTACCTTAGATGATAATGAATCCACTACAGGAGTACAAATACAATGAAAGGCTGAAAATGAAAATGACCCCAAACACATAATATTTAATATTGCTAACAAAAAGAAGAGGGCACTAGAAGATCATACACCACCATTGTCATTGCTGGTGGTGGCATTGGTGGCAGCAGCGTCGCGGGCGGGGGCAGTTTCGGAAATAGTCTTGATTTGGTTATTCTTTTGGGAAGAGCCCTTGCAAAGGCTGATGGGGTATTTTATTGCATTGAGTTCAATCTTTCTAAGTGCAGCTTTACTAAGATCAATGCCACAAATGTCTGATAGCCTCACAAGGTAAAGAAGAACGTCTGATAATTCCTCACCTAAGTGTAATTTCTCTTCTTCTTCCCAATCAGGTAGGCCTCTTGGGACCTCACCTTTCCACTGAAATATCTCAGACAACTCTCCCACTTCACCCACCTGACACAAAAATGGATGATTGGAATAAGCATTAACATAAAAAGACACAAAAGAAGAGTACGTAAAAATTAAGTAAAGTTCGTTCTTTTTAAGGTGTAATGGCAACTTTATTATGCCTGTGTTGATCTTGTTGCTGATTGAGACAGTATTGCAAAGTGAATGATATAACGGGAAAGTTAAGAAACGACACAAGAATCAAGGCAACTCAGTTTGGACACACAAAAAAAGCTGAAACAAGGAAATGATTTCTCTTGTTTTACAAAGTCATCGGTCAACATTCCTCAAAAAAGGAAGAAAGAAAACCCAAATTTTCTGGCAATTTACATGTTCAATGTGCCGGATAAAAGAAGAACAAATTGACAAAAAAGAAAGATAAAAAACCCACATTTGGGTGAGAGATCAAAGATTAAAATTAACTTGATAATCATAAGACAGGCTCCTACAGATTCTATGTGCATGGTAATAAGAGAGAATAGTATAACAAAGGCTGTGTGTTTATATATATAGCAAGTTCCAACCTTTGTGGGCTTATGAAATTCAAGAATTCAAGTATTCAACCACTAATTTCACTATGCAAGACATTTATGGAAGCGAAATAATCACACACAACACATACACATAGAGACGACGTAAATAACATCAAAAATCTAGTAGATAGAGAGTTTTATATGTATATATGAAAACAAAACGATAAAAACCAGAGCCAAAAGCAGATTTCTGGGGCTATGGAACTGATCCCAATCTCTTTCCTTGGCAAAAAATGCCATTTTTTCCTTGAGCTTTTCGAGGGTCAGTCCTTCACCTGATGCTCCCTTCATTTCTTCTCTGTTTACTGACGCCGCCGCCGCCGCCGCCGCTCGGGTGTTGCTCATTATGCCGACCGGGAATTTCTGTAAAATATGAGAGGGTAGGGAGCGTATATAATGCGGACGAAGCTGATATATATGAGCTAAGCTGCTAATGTCAAATTAGCCCTAGGGATTTAGGAGGAAATACATTGAAATAACCTTTTCACAGTTGTTTATTTTCGTGACATTTAACTAGAATATAGAATAATAATAATAAAAAATGTCAAAATATAGGTTAACCTGAAAAAAGTCAAAAATATCCTCACTTTGTCAAAAGGAAAGCTCTCACAGACGACTCCCTTCCCACCGACCCTCTCACCGTCGATCGACCTAAGCAAATCACGAAACCGACCACCTAAAAATCAGCAAAGAGGTCACTGGCTATTTGAAAGGTGGTTGTTGTCATTAAAATGGATTTTTCATAGATAGTTTTTTCATAGATTTAGTTCGAATTTAATAAATTTTAGTTAGTTTATTTAGTATTGTGTGATTGTGGAGTTGATTTAAAAGTATTTGAGGGAGTTAATTTGATTTTTTGGAGTTTAAAGTCGTCGGAAATGGCAAAAAATGACAATTTTCGGCGATGGAACACAGCCGGCTTCGCTGAACAGCCGACTGTTGGCCCGACTGTCAACAGCTGGTTTCAAAGATCGGCTATTAACATCCGACTTGTTGGGTCGACTTGACAACCGGCCCAGATCCGACTGTCAACAGCCGAATCTGGGCCGACTGTTATTAGGCCTCTTCTGGGCCAACTGTTAAAGTCGGCCCAATATATATATTAATTTTTTTATAATTTAATATAATAAATGGTATAATAAATAAATATTTATATAATTAAATATTTTACCCATTTCATTAAAATTAATATAATTACATAAATGATTTACGTAGTTGAATAATTAAATATTTTACTTAATTTAAAAAATCGAATATGAAATAAATATTTATAG